AGATGGGCATTTCTGTTCGCTGACGTATTTTCTATAATAAATACCACGCGGTTCACAAACGAAATAACACATAATACGATATAGGAATAGAGTTAATATGTACATACTTACACCACACTATTTAGAGTTGCCTGTTCATAAGTTGATCTTAAAATATATTTACACTCAAGAAGAGCAAATGCATGAGCTAATTAAGAGCAAAGTAGTTTACACTTATTTCATTCGATAAAAGTATTCAATCGTAAACGCTTTCTTAATTCTTAATAACCACTGGTAGTCCAGTGGTCGAAATTTTACCTTAATTCATGAAATTTTTAATTCAATGAATAAGGGTAAAATTCCATCAATTTTTAATTAAAAGAATTTTTCTTACTTTTAAATCGGTGAATTTGGCATTTCTTTAATTGTAATCAATTAAAGAATAACATTTTACTCTCTACAACTGTTGGACAACATAGCTACTGTATGAATGTAGAAAATTTTATTTGATTTATTTTTTATTGTTACCTAGGTATATTTTGGCTGTAACATAGTTTTTTGCTCACATGCGGAGGTTCCGCACGCTCAATATTCTTAACAAAGTGTCCGAAGTTATTAACTTCAAATTCTAACATACAGAAGAAAAAAGGCAGCAACGCCTCAGTTAGAAAATAATTAATTCAGAAATCTGGGATCCTTGCATAATTTACTTACGCATACGCAAATCGGTGTAAATGGTTATTTGTTGATCATTTATTTACACACACTCGGCAGGACCGCGCGTTACGTCACTAGTAATAAACTTCAATTGTCTCTATTTTTATATTGTGTTCACAGCTTGAAGCTAAATAATGAGACGGGCTGCGTGGAGAAACATCTGGTCGACTCTCAGACTGTGCGTCATCTTATATTTGTCTTGGACGTTGTCGAAGGCGGTCCAATGAAATATGGCGACTCGGATGTTTCAGAGTACCGTATCTTTTTAAATCGGATGCAGTTTCATTTTACGTTAAACAGAAACTTTTCTACATGTGTATAATGCTGATTATGATCATATCAGCCTGTTTGAGTCCACTACTGAACGTAGGTATCCCCAACAGACTGCCACAAAGCACGAACCAGAGCCACCTGCATCCATTGAACTCACGCACATTTGCATGTATATACAGAGAGATATTTTGAGAAGTGCCCAAATTTACACAGGAGGTTCAGATTCAGTAGCATAATCGTTTATTGAAATAAAGAACAAAGTTTTTTTCTCCAAAAAAAAATGCCATTCTGTTTCCTAAAAAACAGAACGTGTTGACAATGCGGTAGTCATTCATAAATACCTAGATTTTACTGTGCACGAACTTGTGTGCGTGATATTTATGAATGATCGCGCGTAAAATAAATGAGTTGCGTATAAATCACGCATTTTTTGAGATAAGTTCAAATTAATGTAATTAATTACTTACGAGTGATATTAAATATTTATCATTTTTATATAACATTATTTATGTCTAGAATGTAATAAAAAATGGATACACTTAGCCACCTTGTATAATGTAATATTTATATATCCAAAGACGATAACGATGGTGGCGTGAAAACTCAAATCAACGCGATTTGGGATCAAAACTAACGGCGTGCAGTAATGAGTTTTCCCGTACGGACACTTAACTAACACCAACGATCTTATATCTTATCCCGAGACTAAATAAGCGGGCTAGCAACTCCTAAAGCAAACTTCCCATACAACAAATACAGAATAAAAAAAAACAAACAAATGCCGAGGCTTTGGCAACGATACGAAGTACAGAGAAAGTTTAGACATAACTTTGTTAATACGTAAGTGTATCTTGTATCTTGTATTAACTGATGTTTTTGCTTTCAGAGACTATTAAAGCTTCATCTGACGCAGAACCGGTGGGCTAGCCAGAACACACGGGTTTGGGCCCTCCGCTGTGGGTAGGGCCGCGCATGTGCTCATGCGTGCGTTTAACTATGACATGTCATCTAAGGGCCATCGAAGTTGCGGTGCGGACCGAGACCCCGATGGCCGTCGACTGTGTTTTTAAAAAAATCGGTGGCTGCGGGCGGTGAGAACCGCCCTGGAACGCGGGTGTACCTAGTGTACGCGTTGTGTTGGTCTCGCCGTGCTCGGAGGCGAGGGCGAACTATTGTGTTTGTTGGTACACTAGCTGTGGGTGTAGTGTTATCCGGCGGGACTATACGTAAGTAGTAAATGTTAAGAGCACACACATTTTGCCATCACCCTGGTATTCTCGCATAGTTAAATAAAACTATTTTACGGGGCCAATTTCAAAGTAAAAAAATCTAAATACACCGAGAATGTAAGAATTCAAGATACTACATCCACTACAGTCATCCATCTAAGATTAGACGAAAATAAATTCTTAAAAAAGCTGACAGTAACTAGACCATGCAATGTGTCCGGAAGCCGGGTATTTGAATTTAAAATTTTACCCGACAAAATTACCAAAAATAGTTTAACTATACGTATATATGTATGACGTGTATAGATTAGTAATAAATAACAACTTTATATAGATCCAAGACGAGTATAACTCAAGAACACTTTTTTTTTATAAAGGTCGGGATGCGGTGTCAACGACATGTGACAGAAACAACTTACCAACTTACTTATCTGTGCGATAACTGTCTTATCTGTGCGACGGATTGCGTCACAACAACAGGAAAAACAACCTCGATTAATGGGGACCATCAATGCCTTCACCTGATCGACGACATCGGAGCTAGCGATTCAATCAAAGTCAATTTGCAAATCAATTTTACTTGCAGCATAATTTTCAGTTTCGCAACTACACACGTGTCTTTCTGTCAGGCTTTGATTTAGTGCATCGTCCTTCATCGATGTTCTAAATTTAAATTTTATCTTTGTATGTATTCAATTACAGTGGTCTGCATATTTTTACTAGCGTCAAAGTTTTTATTACAACTCGTCCGTCCTAATATCGACTATATTTATTTTCTAATACACAAAATCCATGTAGAAATTTATTTAAAAAATTACGAATTAGAAGTACGAAAGAGTACATTATCATCTGTTCTCCCGCTGTCGAATTAGATGCTTCCAGAGGCACATTTATCCTTAAATTCGAACTACTACGTCTACCTTGGGCTCAAAATTTATTCCTTGTTTTCCAAAACATTTCCTTTGCACAGCTTTATCTTTTTATTATACGTCAAGCTTCCCACAGCTCACCTTTTCCTTTTTTTATAACTACCTCAACGTATCACTAGAAAAAAGTCAATCCGTCGTAATGCACATATATGTAATATGCACTTGTACCTTCTTCAGAAAATTCATGCACTCTTTTTAACATTTTTAAGTTAACAATCCGGATTTGTCTGCTTTTCATTACTCCATCGTACCCATCGAATACTTATAGATACCCTCAAATACGTAAACTTTACCTTTCAAATCCTTACTCCCAAAAAAAAAACCCTTTTATTCGAAGATTTTTGATATACAATAATACCGATACACCAAAAGTTTAAGGAGTATCACTGTACAACATATTCATTCCTACACAGATGCTAGTGAAAAAGCTAATTTAAATTGAACCATGAACTTGACCCAAGGTCCTGATTTGACTGATTATTTTTTTATTCAAATGATGATTTTGATAAGATTGGAAGCTAAGCTAAATGAAAAACAAATGAGACATAAACAAATCACACCAGTTTCGTTTCAAAACTATATTTAATTGAATATAATATAATATAATATATGACGTTTGTCATAAGCCACATTATTAAGCTAATAACAATGAGAATGTAGTTCATTGTTATCATTACTTTTAACTCTTCCGTTAGTACTATAAAGGGTTTGAATGGTCTTTATAGTAGTATAAGAGGGCACGGCAAAATCAGTTTCCTTTTTACAGCAATGGATAAAGGGGGGTTACAGTGCATTTGGAAGAAACAAACAAATCTCGCTCGGCCGTCCGTCTATAAATCATCAGTTTGCATTCATTTCTGCGATATAAAAATTGATGCGAGAGGCCTTCCCTTCCGTTTGGAACGTAAGTGTATTTGGAACAATGTTCAGGAGCCCCTTTTCGCGGCGTGTGGCGGACGTGCGGCGCGCATACGCCGCGCGCGTGTCAGCGTCTTTGTGTTGACTCCTCATTATCTCGTGACGAAGGGATAAGATTTATTCGGGGCCTTCATTACTGTCTGCGTAACTGACGCGCATTTTTTAGGGTTCCGTACCCAAAGGGTAAAATGGGATTCTATTACTAAGACTCCGAAGCCTTTCTGTCTGTCTGTCTATCCGTCTGTTACCAGACTGTATGTCATGAATTGTGATAGCAAGACAGTAGAAATTTCCATCACAGATGATGTATTCTGTTGCCGCTATAACAACAAATACTAAAAAACAGAATAAAATAAAATAATATTTTAAGGGTCTCTTCACTTTATTAAAAAGGTGGCAACGCATCTGCAACCCTACGGGTATTGCAAATGTCCATGGGCGGTGGATATCATCATGTGAGCCGCCAACTCACTTGCCACCTTCTCACATAAAAAAAAGAATAGGGATTTTCGCGTGGTGAGACCAGTGTTGCAATGTTAAGTTATAAAATAAAAGTGTTTACAATACTTTCCTAATTATGGAATAGAAGACCAACATACAAAGAAAATAAAATTATTTTTGTCCTGGGAAACTTCACATAATAGTAAGAATGTTTTCTGAGATCGAAGTAGATTTTCTGAAGAAGTAGATAATGGACATGTATACCGGTGTTCTAGAAAAATATCGTATTTTGCGTCGAACAAGACAAAGATATGATTTCAATTCGCACTACAAAGGTAATTCATTATAGTCGAAGATTGAACAATCTGGAAGAAGAAAGGTAGACGTTTACTTGAGAATTGCTGAGATGACTGCGTGCCGTCGACCAAGCACAGTGAATAAAGGGTGCTTAAACTAAATATAATTTTGTTAACAATTCAGTTAATAGCCCCGCGTTCGTTCTCTTCCTCGGCGAATGGATAAGTCAAGGCAGCATGAGATACGTATTTCACCGTGGCGGAAACGGTCCTCGTCGCGCCACGAACAAGTTTACACGAGACATTATGCAGTTATAAATAAGCACTCGTCCGTTCCCAAACATCCAAATAGACACTTCCACCAGATGGCCGAGGATATCCTGAGAGCGGCACGTTGCCTGCACAGGCGGGTAATTATGGCGGCGGGTAGGCGCACCAGGTTTTGCGAAATCGGCGGACTGTTGCAGACGGATTTAGCGTTAGCTGCTAACTACAAACCTTAAACGTAAAAAGGCCCTTGTGAGGAAATTTTATTTACTTAAGGATCACTACTAACGAATACATGAGGTATTCATCAAGAAAACTACAAAAATTGTTGCTACAATCGTAGTAGAACATATTTTTCGTTACTAACTCTATCCGAAAATAATTGAAAATGTTTAATACTAATAAGTCTTACAATGCTATTCTTTTAGAAAATGTGATCTCTGGCAAATGCGAACCAATTTTACAGTTTTTCTTAACGAAATATTTGTGCTATTATAACGATTACATACTTGAAACTAAGATGTAAAACTTTCTAAACTAAATTTTAACTGCTTTGAAACAATGCAAAGTGCTTTACGCTACCTAACATTAAATCGTGATATCTATTAAAATTAACTAAAATTTTACAAATTTAAACAACTTCATTTTTCACGGATTGTCCGCAAAGGCACTAAACTTGTGGCTAGCGTTGTGGTAAGCGACGCGTGCGCAACACCAGAGCGCACTCCGCGGCACAACGCTTCGATCGTGTTATCAAATACGTTCTGTCCCTTCAGTTTTAACATTAAACGAACTCCCGCACTCCGTTTTGATCTCTCATATACTTTAACAGAGAAATAATTACAAAATTAAATAGTAATTGTATTAAACAGGCACAGAGAACGGGAATTATAGAAATCCGATCTACAGAATAACTCATACACTATTTACGTTCATATTGACTATGTTAAACACATAATTGTTCGTAGCTAAACGCAGAATATATATTGTCATCAAAGAAAAAACATTGAAATGTTACAAGAAAGAAAATTGAATGAAGTACCTACAGGCGAATTTTGACAACTGGACGACCAAATGTTATTGATTACTGTAAACAATAATAACCATATACATATTATCGCCGTCGTGGGATTGTACTGAAGCCCATCGTAACACTATTCTAAGGAATATGATATGAGATATCCACTTGGCGTAATTTAAACCAGAGAAACGTTCCACGCGATACGCGATCATAAACTAATAAGCCCTTTTGCCTCGTGTAACCACGATTTACGGCCGGAGCTGATGATATCGGGTTCCATTGACGCGTTGAGGTGTCACGATTAGCACCTGTTCTTCTTAGAAATTCCACGATTTACGCGAGTTACGCGAAAGCTTCTCGTCATTATGCAACTATTTTACGGAGTCTATAGCGTTTTGTTTCTCGCGAATAACTTGCCGCGTTCATGGACTCATGGAAGTATGCAAAGATGTGACACCAATGACTCAAATTACACCAATCAGTGTAATTAGATTGCGATTCTATAGATTGCTGTCTCTTGCCGTATCGTACGTTCTGTCACATTCAATTGTATATATGTATTTTAAAGAAATATAATAAAACCGTACAATATATAAAACGATTAAAAACGTTTTAAACGGTTTTATTTTTTGTTTTTTTTTTGTGCACTGAAAAACTCAAAATTAAACCCAGATCATCTGACAACGGGAAGGTTTTATTAAAATAAGAGAAAAAATAATACCGTAAGCGAGCTAAATAAAACCATTTATTATATACATTTTGTATGTGTTCGACAATGAAAATTATAGTATCATACGCTTATTTTGTTTACTAAATAAAAAAATGTTTCTCTCTTTCTCAATGCAGTTGCAATAATAATAAAATAAGCTAAGTTCAAACTGTAATTAATAAGTGCTTTCTTGTTTTTTATCGTCAAGGCGTGGTAATTGAAATGCCCGTATAGACAATCCCTTATATTAACACGGACAAATTTGGAGCTGGCGTGTGTGGCTTCCGTTGCCCGATGTTTGTCGAACCCTCAGGTATTCGCAACATTTTGGTCGAATTCACTTGTAACATTAAAGCATTACTGATTTATATTTTTATACGAATTTTGCATGTAACAATACATACTAGTTACAAAAATGTACTATGTATAATTTAAGCTAATCGAATACTATAGTAGAACTAGTTTAATATACCTAGTTCTGTCACATGTTTATTGTGAAGCAATTGACTCATGTTGGTATTTACAATTCATCAAAAGTAACTTACTAAAACACACATTCTCTCTAAGCTTATTCAAATGACCCCCGCCATTTTGAACACAAGCAGCACGGACGAGATCCACCTTAATATCGGCGGCTGCTTTGATCAAGTATTCCTGGAGTGACTCAGGATGAGACTTTGCGCCTTTACCTCCAAGTGTTGCCATATTTTATAATCCAACGGATTTAAGTCTGGACTGGAGGAGGGCCAGTCTTCGTGTCGGATGAGGTCAATTACTTTTATATTTGCCAAAAATTACATTCTTACAAACGTCATTCACGAAAACGCGTTTGGAAACAAAAGAACGTGTTTCGGTGTTCACGATTTGTTTTTTTTTAGTCGTAGTTCTCGAGTAAATGTGGCGCGCCCCTGACTTGAACTTCAGGATGTCGGACTTCCGAAACAACTGTGCGGGGTTTACATACAGCACAATGAGTGATGGCTTCTCGGTTTGTTTACGATAAAAATAACGCTCGTTAATAAAAAACGGCCTTAGCGCGTGTCGGGGATTTACCGTGAGGGATGCGCAAGCGCAACCTCTATAAAAATACCTTATTTGTAGAAGAAGGTGTCAAAATATCAGACAGTACACCTGACAGTAAGTCACTATCGCCGATATATGAAAAAAAAACATTTACTTTCCTTGAAAAAAAATAACATTTAGTTCCGTTTTTTATGAGTGTCTCCGTTCTTCCTCGAGGAAAACGGAGACACTCATAAAAAGGATAATTTCTCTTTTCGGCGTGTAAAATCGACATTACACACGGCAAATCAGCCGCGTGTAATGCTCGCGTCTTTTGTTATTGTGCATCGTCCACGTACCGTCGAAACTTGGTATTCGAATCTCAACACTGATGGCCATCCGCGGAACGAATCGACAGAGAGTAGTTGAGTCAGCGGAAAAAGTCCGTAGTCTACGACTGCGTAGAATAAATAGGCTGAAGGCGTAACATTCAGACGGAATGACAGATATACACAAAAAATACGTTTTTAAATTATAGCCTATGGCTTATTCTGGTGTATAAGCTATATTATTGTAAGGTTTCATTAAAATCCATTCAGTAGTATTTGCGTGAAAGAATAACCAACATACATCCATGCATACAAACTTTCGCCTTTATAATATTAATAAGGATGGTACGGAACGCTTCGTGCACGAGTCCGACTCGCACTTGGCCGGCTTTTTCTATTTTAATTGGGTGTGTATTTACTTGTGTTATACAAGCGACGCGCGGCGCGTCCAGTGGTTAAAATCCGAATCAGCGGCGGTCGCGGTTCGGTCAGTGGCCAGTTGTGGTCGCTACAGCGTGTCCGCCACCGTGTGCAGAAACTGCAGAATGACCCTGCAAAATGTATGAAAAAGCGTGAGAAGTACACCACCTGTGGCTGTTCTGAGTGATTCGCGCCGTCCCCGAATTACTAGTTTGATAAAGCTGAAGGTGTGTCAATATATGGGTGTGGAAAAGCGGTAAGGAAGCCCCGAAAGGGCAGCGAAAAAATGAGAATCCGTAAACACCGCCGCCGCCAAGATGCAAAACGCCGCAGATATACAAAGGCTACATCAAAATTCCCCTTTTTAAAATTTCAAAGACTCTAAGTAATTATCAAATTACTAGTGAGAGTTCGTCGAGCTAGTTATGCGAGTTAAAATTTACGCGAACGAAAAAAATGTTCCCTAACGACTCTCCGTCATAAATAATTGACTGGAATCGGCATACCCGCGAACTCCTCTGGGGACATGTTGCGAGCTCATTAAGTTGTTACGGCCACTAAATATACACGTCGCTTCCTGTAATCCGTGGGGATGTTTGACAAAATATCCGAGCGGTGTAAACAAGCAAAAAGTCGGACTACGTTTACGCAGTCCGTGCCCACGCCGAGAAAAGATTAGTGACTGCGCGCGATGTTTTTAATCTGTGCTGATATTTTAAGTGAAAAAATATTGGACCGACCTATATTTTTTTTTTCAGTAATATCATGGTTTTATTGCCCCTGTGAGGTCGGGAGGGATTGCTTTGAATAAAGTTCATAGACATTTCTTTATTTATTTAAATTGTATGCACAGACTAGTAAAAAGCCGGCCGTAATGCCAATGGCATTAATTACTAATCAACTTTAGGGTGGTGTAAATAAATGAGGTTCATTACATAAACATATTTGTATAAACATATTTTCACATAGATATATATATGTAAATGTATAAATAAATATCCATTATACAAAATATAGAATGTTAAGTTAAACAATACAAAAATTTTTGGGTAAGGTAGATATTGGATTTATATTCTTTGAGAGCCCGAAGTAAGAACAAGTTAAAAACCAGTAAGAAACAAAAATTTTACTTAACATTGATTTCGTCAACTGTAATAGAAAAAGAAAAAATCCAGTGAATAGGAAATCGATTTGAGTCATCACGATGTGTCTCCAAATGCCGAGTGGGGTATTTAATTAGGTTTTTGTCGGCCGAAATTGTACCCCCCCGCTTTAAATATTCACACAGCCTGAAGGCAGGTTAAACGTGTGACCAATTTTAAACTAATTAAACGAGGCATCCGGCTCATTGGCTGTCAAATCGGCGTATTTTTAGTGTTGTTTTTTTCTCTCTTTCTCTCTCTGTCCCGACCCGCATACGGCGTAAACAGATATGTTACAGTTTAGTTTAAATACTTCTTGGAGGTGCGCGTTTGGAAGGATAGATTAGTGTGGATGCGATGATTTGACAATTTAAGAAAGGAATTTGGTAAAACTTAGCGTAATTAGTAACAATCCTTTAAGTGAAAATCACCCTAATAAAAATATATTTCAAACACTCAGCAAAGACAGTTGTGTTCCAAATTGACAGTTCTGTTTCAGTTGTGGAATACAGGAAACTTGTTACAGGAGGGTAGACACTGTTGACGAGATTTTTACCGACTCTTTTAGTTCAACGAAGTGTTTCATATTGGCCATTCTAACACCATAATC